GTTAAAACCTTCCAGCTCTGCTGCAGTAACTCTGCGCACAAACTACTCGAACAGTTACTGAGTCAGCACAGGGTTAGTGAAGTCGGTTACCTGCAGACGTCTGCGCTTTCCTGCTCCTTCGACTCGAACACCGACTGCCTGAGTCTCAGCTCTGCAGAGGAAACACAGTCACACATTACCATGAACCAGTTTAGCAGTCAGTGAACTGAAACCAGAAACACAGAGGTCACAGTTTTACTGTCAGTTTGGCAGGAGCCTGATCGCAGCTCAGCTGATGAGCACGTTTACTGAGACTCCAGCTGCTGCTGTCAAACACGTGGCTGCAGCCTGCGCCCACAACAGACGCTGAACCTGAGCCGAGCCTGCGACCGTCACCTTTGAGCTGCTTGCGAGCCTTGGCCAGTTCGCCCATCACTCGGATCATCTCCGGGTTCGAGTACTTGTCGTTGTGGGACGGCTGAAACAGAAGACGACAGAAATCAAATGATGCAGTAAAGAGCGATGACGTTTACGACTCTTTAACGCTGTGCCGTGAGTCTGACAGCGCCCCCTCCTGGATCTACCTTGTAGTTCATCTCCTGCTCAAACTGGTCCTCAAACCTGCGGACCTTCTTCTTCAGGGTCTGGATGTGTCTCGTGAGGAAGGGCACGGACGAGGGACGCTCGCCCTCCGAGTCCTGCGTCCTGTCGCCCCGACACCTGAACACAAACACAGCGCTCAGATTCAGCAGGCGGGCATCATCGGGTACGAGCACGCCACCACCCCACAGGGATATATCCAGATATATTTATCAAAGAGATTTAACATTTTTAAGATTAGCAGGACACACGCGGCTTTGAGCCTGAACGCGGGAACCGTCACGTTATCCAACGCCAGCGCGTCACAGACACAGACAGGAAGTAGCTGTCGGTGAAACAACAAAGACGAGAAAACTGGGTCACAGCTTCAGGCAGTGGCTCACAAACCGAAGACGATGATGATGAAGGACGGATTATATAAGCCGCACTAATGCAGGTCAAACACAAACCACTCCACTGCACTCTCCCCGCCAATCACATGACATCGAGCACAAAACAGCTTCAAGCAGCCTGAAACTGGAAACCAGAGCAAAGAGTCCAGTTGGTCCTGGAGCCAGGACCACCAGGGTCCAGATCCAGGACCACCAGGGTCCAGATCCAGGCTGTGCAGCACGCGTGGAACCAGACATAAACTACACAGACATCATTTAAAGGAAAACAAAGCAGGAAGTCCAGATGAACATCAGAGCGCCCCCCTCAGAGCAGCACTCACAGGATATACTGCTGGCTGCACGGCGGCGACGGGGCGGAGTCCGGGTCCGAGTTAAACCTCTGACATGGGCTGGAGCAGCGGGGGGAGGGCAGGGGGCTGGCGCCTCCTGCCAGCAGCTGGAGGAGAGCTCCGCCTCCATCTGAGCCGTGTCCACCTTCACCTCCGGGGCTGCTCCTCTGAGGAGAGTAGGGGGAGTGGTGGGGGCTCGGCGGCGTCACTACGTCGGGGGTCGGGGGCTGCTGGCCGGGGTGGATGGCGGTTAACGGCGGGTGTCGCGGGGACTGTGGCGGTCTGGTCAGGAACGTCAGCAGCTCTGCAGACACACAAAACACAAACAGGTCAGCCTCCTCCTCCCAGCAGTGCTGCCAGCTTACAGTAACTATAATTATCTCTAAATTGCTTTATATACCACATGTATGTAAATATATATCACTGCAGCCTAACCCTGAGCAGCTGTGGGAACAGTTAGCTAATCGAACACTGATCCAGTTTTACCTTCAGCCGTGTTTCAGTGAAGCTGAACTCTCTAATTCTGTGACATCATACAGCTGATACCGTCCTGCTGACACAATCCTACCCGCTTATACCTTTACAGCTGTTTTAGGCCAACGACAGGAAGTTAACAGGTTAGTTTCCGTGTTTAGAGAATCAGGACAGGAAGTTCAGAACATCAAAACTCTGTCACACCGATTCATCGACGGCGCGCTCCATCACTGCGTTGCTCCTCTGTGCTGTCAACGGTCATCATCACTCCAACAAGGGTCCGAATGCCAAAGCTCAGTCTGCTGCCTGTTTCTATTGTTTCCAGCGGATTCAATAAAAAGTGTTTGAAACTCGGAGAATGCCGAGAAGCCTGCAGCTGCCGAACAGTCAAAATGACTAAAATAACACTCTCACCACTGCTACGACCTTCCAGGACCTCTGGACCCAACTGAGAACCACATGCAGCAGAGGTGTCAAACATAAGGCCCAGGGCCCTGAATCAGCCCGCTAAAGACTCTAAACCGGCCCACTGGATGTGAGGGAATGATGGATGTTTGTATTGCTCTAAGTTTTACAAGCTCCATTTTTCACTATTGACTGTAGAAATGAAGTTTTTGTGCAAACGTCTCTGTAAATTCACAGAAGCTTGTTTGTAATAGCAGCGTGCACAGACACACACACGCACACAGTGTGTGAACAGTTATCTCAGCTAATGCTTCGTGTGCAGGTAAACTGGAAGGTGTGTGTGTGTGTGTGTCTGCGTACAGGGTCTGGATCATCTCCAATGATAACACACACACATACAAAACAACAGTTTATAAACACACACACACAGACTGACAGGTGTGTGTACCTGGCGGGCTGTTCTCGTCTGCAGGGACGCCGTGACAAAGCGCCAGCGTCTTCGCCTCCTTCCCTCCGAGCTCGGCCCGACCACGGGGGCTCTTCTGCTCCTTGCTGCCCAGAGGAGGGGGGCTCTCCTCGGGGGATGACCCCAGCGATGTCCCCCCCTCCACCTCCAGAGCCTGGAGCTTCTGCAGGGAACTCTGCAGGCAGAAGCAGAACATGCCAGACACGCTGGTCCAGAGATTAACCAGGTTCCAGGCGCAGTGTGTCTGTGTGTGTTTGTGTGTGTGAGGTGAATGTAGGGCAGTGAGGCACTGTTACAATGAAAGACTCCAGATATTAGCCAGATCTCTGATACGTCACATGTGGAAGCACAGAGCGGGGGATTAGTGTTCAGGAAACAGTCTTATCCCACAGTTTTAAAGCATAAGTCAATGAGCCTCCCTTCCAGGAATTACACCAGCACCATCCAGAAAAACACGTCTCCCTCCAGCTCTTCCAGATATTAGTCACGTACAGACAAATGCACACACTCTCCAGGAGCTAGCCAGTGCAGGTGAAATCCACCAGCATGCAGAAATATTCACTCCGCTGATTCTCTCCCACTCCAGGAATTAGCCATCCCCGGGTGGACGCCGCTCAGCAGTGAGAGACCTGCAGGACGGGTTTGAATCTTCATCCTCTGCCTCTGCACGTTCACTGATGATGATGATGCTGGTATCCTCCCTCACTCACTCCGTCTGCAGCTCTCGCCCTTCCTCCCTGCTTGGATTACTCATCCTCAGGCTCGTGAGGAGAGGAGGGAGCAAGGATGCAAGAGGAGGAGGAGGGGGAGAGGGATGTCTGCCCTCTCTCTCCCCCTGAGGAGGAGACGGCTGGGTGAGAGACATCTGAAGACAGGAGGAAGCCGCTCTCTCTCTGGTCATGAGGCTTCTCCCGCATCGGTGGGGGAGGGGCTTCCTGCTGACATCATCGTGTGTGAGTACGTGTTTAATTCTCATTCATAAAAACAGGAGAGGAGGAGCAGTTACGTGCTTCTCCTCACACATCCAAAAACTGAACACGCAGTGACACGTCCCCACAGCGTTTCTATGGAAACACTGCATGCTGTACGAGTTTGACGTGTCAGGCGCTCACACCGCGACCGTTTACAGACTGTACATAATAGACGGAGGCTCGTCAGCCTCTTCCTGTATCATCCTGCATCCATGGCGACACCTGCCAGTAACAGAGGCCACGCCCCCAACAATTGGAAACTTTAAACCGGTGAGTAAGTCATATGTAGGGGCTGCGTGCCACCTGCGCCCCTACATATGACAGAAGTAGCCCCACAGGTGACGTGTTTCAGCCTGTGACACACGCGGGAACGAAACAGAGGAGACTAACATGGTCACTGGCGCGAGGAATACACGCACGGTCGTGAAGCGTTCGCAATTATTTATTTATCGGTCATTTTAAAATGTCATTCATAAAATGTATTATTCGTTATTTTTGTCATGATCTGGTGAAACAGCGCCCCCACCCAGGCATTCTGTTCACTTCAGGCGGAGAGTGGTACTGCAGCGCTCTCCGTCCACATCGTGTAGACGGGAGAAGCGGGAAAACGCGGGGATAAAATGGCAGCTGTATTTACAGAGGAGCTCTCAGATGGATGATGTGTTGGCCGAATTACAGAATATGACCTAATACTTCCAGAAAAGCTCGTGAATCTCATTTATTTTTTACATCTGCTCAGAAACCCGCGCCCGTGCCTTTCACTACGCCGGCTTTTGAGCGGAGTTCCGCTGATACGGCCATCATCAGCTCACAGAGGAGAAACGGCGGGAAGAACGGTACTGTCCTTCAAATTAAAAGTCGCCAACTCAACAATTTTCAATTTTCTACCGACATAAAGTCGCTGATCAGCGGGGTTGTTGGATCATGTCACGTGTTTAATATTTCATACTGATTAGAAATCTGACTGCTGGAAGAAAACAAATCTACAACCTCAGGCGACAACACCCGGAGGTTGTTTCAAAATAAAAGTTGCAAACCCATCTCTTTGCTGTTCAGTTTCTGAGGTCTGTGGTTCGAGTCCGTCCTTCCAGCCCTGCCTTTCCTGACTTGTGATTTTAGGATGATATTTAATAATTAATGATGAATTTATTTTGGCTGCGATCAATAATTCAGCACTGTTTCACTAAAATCCATCTAGTTATTGTTCAAAGCAACAAATGTTCAGCTTCTTCACATTATAAATGTTACCTACATTTTTAAATGTGTATTTTAACTAATGACCTTTGCTGTTCATACATTTTATTTTGTCTTCCTCGTGCTTTGTAAATGTGATCTCTACCTGAATGTAATTCTCACTTTAAATAAAGATGTAATTTAACCCTGGATTCACATGTAGTATTCTTAATTGTTCATGCTCAGAACTTTGCGATAACTGCCATGATGCCACGTCTCGCTTGGAAATCTCGTCTTAAGGGTGTCATGAAGCGCTACACTTGAAGGCTCATTTACCCCGGTGTGGACTCACAAACACACAAGCACCATTGCGCCTCCTTCAGGTGTTTAAATGCACCAGTACCTGTGCACCCTCCTCACACTCCCATATTTCATGTTAATAATATATTTTATTGTGTTGTGGGCTGGAACAACATCAGAATTTTGAATGTCATTTGTCATTGCTTCATTTTATAAATAAAAAACAGAAACGTTGTTTTTTTTACAGCTTTTATTTTTTTAAACAGATCGAGCAGCTTTGGCAAAGAGTTTTTCTGTTAACAGTCATCACCGTACAGCTTTTTCCACTGAGAGACGGAAAGAGTCAGAAGGCTTCTTCAGCTACTGCAACAGCCACTGTAGCAAAGGTAATAATAACAATAATAATAATAATAACAAACAACTGAAAACATCATCAAAACACAATATCCCCAGTATATACAAATAAACCAATGACACTTGAGCTTCATCACACAAACACAAAGCATCATGACTTTGATATAAACATGAATATTTCTCCTTCTGGTCCAAATACGTGTCTTATTTGTTTTGTGCATTTTATTGTCGTCGGACTCTGATTGTCCCCATCAGGAGTATTTTAGCTCTGTCCAGCAGATGGAGCCAGTCAGTCAGAGGAAACAGATATTTCTCCGTTTTGAGTAAAGTATGACCTGTGATTGAAAATTCTAGTTTGAGGTTTTTAGACTATGAAGTCGTCCTCCACTTCAAACTACTCAGATATAATAGGAAATTAATGATAATTAGCGAGGCTCGTAGGTGGTGTTGTTCTCCACATCCCAGAAACCATCAGTGAGGTCTCCATCCCTCACTGGACTCCCACCTTCATGTTTTTCCACTGGAATATTTGCTGGAAAAGCCCAGCACAGGCTACTTTGTGGAAGTCTGACTGTGTGCTGCCCTCTGCTGGTGAAAACTGAACATACTGTTGTTGTCATGCAGAGCTCACAGACGTCACATCACTGATCATTCTACAGAAAAACCACAGCGAAATCCGACTGCTGAAGATAAAGACTTCATAACAAACTGGAGACTGTTAGCTGCTTTTACAAAAGGCCACAAAAACACGTCATCAGTACAAATTTAAATTACTGCAAATTTGATCTTTTCATCTCATGTTTGGAAGCAAACAAACTGCAGACTCATCAACTCAACAATACTAGAGGTCCACTTTGTGACGGAGTTACTGTCAGCATGAAGACGTAACGGAAGCTATTTTTTCTCCACCTGTCCACCGCCAAGTCGTAGACGCGTCATCCTAACGTGTTCTGAACAAAAAGGTTTTGATGCATTGCAAAAAAATGGAAACACTCCAGAAACCTGCACAGTTTTAAACGTCTTCAGACCAACAGCTCAGAAGAAATCAAAGCACGCTGTCTAATTCATGTCCAAAAAACATGGAGGAAGTCTTGGAAAATTGTTCAAAACATCAGTTCTCATGCAGCAATTCAAAGACTCACAATATAAAGAATGACAGAAAGGAAAGCTTAAAGAAATGTTTGCATCACTACCCCGTTATCCTTTGGGGGTGAAGATCGCTACTACGCCCAGCATTGTTTTCTTTCTATCCATCTTTGGATCTGAAGTTCCAGAAAATGAAACAGGAAGTGAAGGCATCATGGTGACCTCAGGTTTGTGTGTTCGGTCTCAGTTTGTCTTTATTTCACTCGGTGCGGTTCTTCACGCCACAGAGGAACATAACCATCCTCCAGCCCTCTGTGAGGGTCTCCAGAACCTTCCAAATCTACCACCTAATCAAACAGCAAGCAGTAGGAGAGTGATCTCCCCCCTGAGGGGGTCAAAGTTCAACTGTCAGTTATCAAGGCCACTTGAGAGAAGCACAAGTTTTCCACTTGTAGGAAAAGCAGGACTATGATGCCTTCAGTGTCTTCAGGAAGTATGGGAAGGATGACTCGACGTTGTTCTCGGATTGTGAAAGTGATGCTGTCACAGGGGAAGTATGCAGGAGGGCTTCTGGTTTAAGTCCTCATAGGGTAACCTTGTGTTGACGTTACTAAAAGTAATTATCATAAAGAAGTCCTTCGGTTTGTGGAACCACGGAGGACCTGGGGCCTTGGAGAAGTTCCCCACTTTGGTAGGTTGGTAATCTAGCCTTGTTCATTGCTGCCAGAAACACTTTGGGATGATTTTGTTGAACTGTCAAGATGTCAGGTATCTTTGATGAAAGCAGACATCAGATTTATGGTAAACATCACTTCCTGTGAAACGTGTCGGTTGAATGAGGATCCAAAAAGGCCTGTGCTGTGTCACTAACTCAAGGCATTTGTTTTGTCTCTAAGGAACATCCAATTATTTCTTCTGTATTGTGTGGATGAAGTTACTGCACAGTCTTGGCTGCTGTACACAGGCTGAAGGAGCAGCCGGTTAACGTAACGAGAAATTGTCTATGTGTTAATCAAACTTATTTCCTGATTTCAGAGGGCTGAAAGAAGTTGTTTTACAGCAACATATGGGACAGAAACTCTTGCAGCAGTAAACGGCACATAAAGATAGAGCTGCGCAGGTCCTTGACTTCTGTTGGAGGGACATGACCAAAGTTCATCTGTAGCCAAACAAGGAATCAGGCTTCTTTGGGTTCATGAGATATTCAGAGGCATCACTGACTTTTTCTATGCCGCAGATCCTTTTTTGTAGCTGTACCGTTAACCTCCCGGGGTCCCGACAGGTTTCTAAAAGCTGACATCATTTCTGTTGTAAAAGTTAAAAACATGCTTTTATCTATTTGCTGAAAATCACCATCAAAGCAAAAGATGTTTGTAGGACTGACTTCGTGCCCCGAGTGCCTCGAGAAATCATCCTACATTGTCTTAATATGAAAAAAGAACAAACGTGTGATGTTAAGAGGCAGTTTGTTTGATGCCTGAACTGCTTCAGCTTCCTGCTCTCAGGTGTGATGGTGGGTGGGTTCCTCCTGTTAGCAGAGACCAGCTTGACCAGTTCGACCAAGGAAAGGCCTGGAGTCCATTTCCCTTTATGAACTTCCATGCACTAGGTCCTCAAATCCTCAGCGTTTGACTCCTAGAAGTTTACAGCCATGCTTAGAACAACACAATCACTTCAGGTAGGATATTTCACCAAGATGCCCACGCAGCCTTCGTTCAGCCCGCTGAGAAGTCATCGTCTTCTTCATAAAGTGTCAAGCTCTGGGTGTTGGTGTAAACTGATGGCTGCCACTTTAGAAGTCATAGTCCCACCCAGAGTTGTCATCTGGTGGTGGTTCATCCGTGTCTTCAGGGAAACTGTCAAAGTTGCTCGTATCAATCGCAGAGGAGACCTGGACAGAAGGTGAAACAATAAAACCCCTTTAAAACCTGCAGACCGATCAAAGCAAACTTTGTTAAATCAAATGACTTTAACAGTTTACACAGAAGTCACAACTTTACAGGGCTGGAGAGAGAAATCGACGAGAAGCTCGAGGTGACGATGGGGAGGACCTGTTTGAAGCTAAAGGAACTCTTCACAACAGATTTAACGTTGTGCCAGTTTGAATACGTATAAGTTACACCAGAAAAGCCGAGAGGTTCAGTCTCTGGAGCGTGTCCTGGTTCCATCTGGGTTCTTCCCGGTTGGACATGCACCAAATATAAATTTGCCTTCGATTACGTTCCTTCATTCTCTTCAGTACTTTTTGTGAGAGACGAAGAAACAGGAAATGAGAGGAGTAAAACACGAGTAATATGTGCACAAAATGTCAAGACCCAAACTAAAACTGACCTCATGGCTGAGGGTCCATGTAAATATGGAGAGCTGTCCGTTTCACAGTGATGAGATAAACTCACAGGTCCGTTTATTAACTTTCATGGGTGGAATTCAATAATTTCACTTATAAACTTGTTCTAGCAGGGATGGTAATCCCCGTTTTAGTTTGATTCTTTCATTTATTAGAGAATATACCGAAATCATGTCCAACTAAACTTAAGACTTATTTACCAGGGTGTCTTTGCTAAAGTGTTTTTATCTCAGTGAGGATAAAAATGGTTGATTTTAACACTACATACTGAGCCAGTCTACAGCACGAACAACATCAAATCAGATTTTTAGTGCAGGACAGAAGTTGATGATCAGGATTCCTACCAACCTGTCATTGAGTGCCTCTGTGTCCGAGTGAAAACTACCATTGACTAAATAAAATATACATGAAGCAGACTCCCAACATCAGGAGACAATCAAAATAACTTGTTGTTTTAAACTTTAAAAATCAGCAGGGAATCTTCAGGCTTTGACGATTCAAGAAGAAAAAGTGAATTTTTATTTCTACTCACATCTGGTGTGATGGGCGGAGTCAGCGTTCCTTTTCTCAGACCCTCCCAGTTAAAACCTTCAAACCACCTGAGCACGCACACACACACACACACACACACACACACACACACACACACACACACACACACACACAGATTTGTCTCATATTCAGACTGACAGGTCAAAGGTCATCCTCATGAGAATGTTTTGTGAGCAGCTCACTCACTTGTGTTTCTGGATGTCTTTGACTCCATTTTTGAGGTTTCCGAGTCTCTCTGAAGGATTATCCCTGCCAGCACAGCTATGGTTAGATACTTTTCCTGGAGATGAAAACAGTGAATTGTGGCTTAGACAGCGCCCCCTACCTGCAGAGCTTCTTGATGAGACTGGCGGCGTTCTTGGTGATTTTCTTTGGAAACTCGATCATGTCGATGCCTCTCAGGATGACATTGTAGGTTTTCATTGGATCTGGACCTGAAAACGGAGGGCTGGAGACACAAGCAGACACTGAACCACACACACAAAAGCAAAAAAATAAAACGTCCAGCACCGAGTTGGATCTTCACCTGCCGGTCAGCAGCTCGTACATCAGAATACCCAGAGACCAGTAGTCAGCAGAGACGTCATGACCCTTGTTGAGGATGATCTCTGGAGCGACGTACTCCGGCGTCCCGCAGAACGTCCACGTCTTCTTACAAAAACCAATTTTCTTAGCAAAGCCAAAGTCCACCTGAAAAAAACAGGCCGAAGAGCTCTTCACAGTATGTGAATGTGATGACAAATTTACAGCATCCTCCTTTCTGACGCTTACGTCTGATTATTTGTCAAAAATAAGGGAGGTGCTAGTGCGTACCAGCTTGGCGTATCCTCGGCTGTCCAGAATGAGGTTTTCGGGTTTCAGGTCTCTGTAAATGATGCCTTTGGCGTGCAGGTAGGCGAACGCTTCGACCACGCAGCCCGTGTAGAACCTGGTGGTGGAATCTTCAAAGGAGCCCCTGAAACGGAGTTTAAAGAGCTGTGACGGCGCTCTCAGCACGTCCTGAGCCTCTGTGACGACTCACTGACAAGTTTTAAAGGCTGCAATGTGCACGTTTCTTATTTGGGCTTTAGCCAATAAAAGGTTAGACACGATCCTTCAGTCTGAGGTGACATCATCAGAAGTTTCGTCTCATGTTTCACAAATGACGGTGTCATTGATTTTGTTCTAAATGAAGATTTTTTGACCGTTTTGTACTATAACTATTTTACTACATTTTATTAAAATATGTAAAGTTGTACATGATGAGAGTTTAGTGTGACGCGTACCGGTCTCTCAGGATGGTCCACAGCTCTCCGCCCAGACACGCCTCCATCAGCATGTACAGATATTTACTGTCTTTAAAGGTGCGGTACAACCTGAGCACAAAGAACAACAGCAGCTCATCTTTCTGACGGTTACGTTGTGTTTATGTCGGTTTTTAAAAAGCCCACGAACATGAATGTTTTTCCTGGCCAGACTCCAGCCTGTGTTACTTTTTACGAGGCTTCGTCTAGAAGCCAGAAACAGAAAGAAGAAATCTGATTCAACGATTTTATTTTGTAAAACTTTTTTCTCACTGCAAATTTTCCCCTAACCCTAAAGTTTATATATCAAAGAGCATGAATATAAATATTACACAATATTACACCAATGTTAAACTCTGGTCACATGACTTTGATTGGCAGGTTGATGAGGTTTTTTTTGCCTGATACAAAATGTCATAAAACAATTAAGCGTTTTTGAATATTTTACTTAAGAATTCATCTTTGAATTAAAGTATGTATTGCAAAGCATCTTTCATTGTTTCCATCAAACACAAAGCCTCGAGTGACGGTTGTTGTGCCGACCTGACGATGAAGTCCGAGTGCGCCTCGGTCATGATGTGCTTCTCAGAGCGAATGTGCTCCTGCTGCCTCGTGTCCACGATGTGACGCTTCTTCAGGATCTTCATGGCGAACGTCTTTGCCTCTTCGCTCTTCAGCTGCACCTGAATAAACACAACGGGTCCTTCCTTTAAATGCACGCACAGCCTGATCTGGTAAAAACATCTAAAAACACAGGGCGTAAAGAGCTAGCGACGCAGCTAGATACACCTGCATCAGTCAAACCCAGGAAGCTTTATTTTCTAGAGGAGGTCCAACACTTCCAGAGATGGTGACGTACCCTCTGGGCTAAAGTTTAACAAAATGTGGCTAAAGTTAGAACAACTGCGATTCAGTCGCTGTGTATCGCGCCACTTTCATAATATCTCCAAGCTAAAAACGCATGCTACTCTTGTTTTTGTTTTATTTTGAAAAACTTACTGGTCCACAGTCTTGTGCTCTCACATCTCATTTCATGTTTTAGATCATCACAAAATTCAATATCAGACAAAGACAACAGAGCAAATACAACAAACAGTGTTTAAAAGATCTTTTCATTTATTCAGGGAAAAAGTTACCGAAGCACATGGACGTTCATACTGGTAATAACTGGTTGTGCCATGATCGGCAGCAAGAACTGCAATCAAGTGTTTGTGATGTGTGAGTCTTTCTCATCACTGTGGGGAACTTTGGCCCCTCTTGTTGAATCCAGACATTTTGGAGGGGTTTCACGCCAAAACATCTCGTCTGATTTAAGTCCGGACTTTGACTCGGATCAGTGTCCTGCTGCAGAACCAAGTGCTCCTGAACATCACAAAACAAACTGATGGGCGGACATCCTCCTTCAGGGTTTTCTGGTCTGTTACGGCGAGCCGTCCTGGAGCAGAGCAGCCAGACCATCACACGACCACCACGGAGTCTGCCTGCTGCTGCGATGCTCTCTTTATAAAGCACTGTTAGTCTGATGTGACGGGACTCAGATCTTCCAGAACGTTCAGCTTCTGTCTCGTCAGTCCACAGAATATTTCCCAGAAGTCTCGGGAACCATCCAGATGTTTGGTGGCAGATGTGAGACGACTCTGTGTGATGACCTTAGGATACCGTTATACCTTTATTAGTCCCACGTGTGGGAGATTTGTTGTTAAGGCTGCCGACCTCTGCCAGCGCCATCTTACTCTTCTGACCATACAGACATTACACAAACATCACATGGGGAAGACCTCTGACCTTAACTAAGCCCAGTGACGCCTGCAGGCTTCTATTTAAGTGATTTCTTGAGTCGGCTTTCCAAAAAAGGTCACAGTTAGAGGGCACAGAGGGCAGATTTAACGAGGAGGGCAGTCACTTTCAGACTGGTCAGGTAGGTACGAATAAGCTTTATTTAAATCATCATTTAAATCCTGTACTCTGTGCTGAGTCTAGTCTAATATTAAAACGTGTTCGATGGACAGAGTCAGTGTTACAAGTATGCAAATACAAAGACGAGCAGAGGTCCGATACTTTCCCCGCAGCTCTGTCGGGGGTCTGTCCCTCTGCTGGTACATCAGCTCTTCGTTACATGTCAGTAAACAGCGGAGCAGCTGCGCAGCGTCTCTGTGGGGAATCTGTGCCGTAAGCCGACCGCCATGCTCTCGTTGTAAACACCTCGCTGTGTGCTGTTCATAGGCAATGACACAATCCTCTATTCCTGGACCGATTCCTCAAATTACGGTCCTGACTTCTTACTCCGACATGTCTGAGAGGTCACCCCCTCCTCGGTAACCGACACCATCGGTGCTGACGGAGAAACAGCAGCAGCTGGAAGCTTTTTCACTCAGACAAACACAGGAAAACTTCCACTTCTGATAAAGGACTGTTTAGCTGAGCTGCTTCCAGGGTCAGTCGGTCGTTCGTGACTTTAACAGCTTTCAGCCGCTCTGCACTGCTGATGGTTATGTCCCGCTCGTTGCCACTAGCTGCCGTATTTCTGATGGTCTGCTCAGTCGGTGCTGCAGTCACTCGTTGTGAGACTGTTGGAAACTCCGACATGTTGTCCAACCTGTAAACTAAAGTCTTCTAACAACCTCAGGAACAACTGATCTGATTAGTTCTGAAGGACTGAACAGAGTCAGAGTCACAGTGAAGACAACGGTAAACTGAACGTTAGTAAACTGGGGTTCGTTTTCCTCTCTAATGCATCTGTGCTTGGCTGGTTTCAGGCCGTCTGGAGACAGACTGTGGGATGAGGTTAGTCACCGTGGATCCATGTTCCTGATCAGGTCCACGAGAATAAAGTGAAATCGAACACAAACAACTTTTCTGTTCTGATTTACGAGAACTCGCACTCAGCCTAGAAACCACGCAGGTTGTGATAAAACCTGAAGCTGTTTGGTGGGTACACTGATGGCTCTGAGGAGTCACATGATTCGTAGTCTTTGCGGTGAGACAGTCAGGAGGTCGGAGGTCTGCTTTTTCCTTGGAGCAGAGTTACACTCCAAAAATATCCCCAGGGGAACGGTGGGAGACCCTGAATGGGGATTCCTTCCTGCTTTTGGGCAAACCCTCCGCAGGGCTTCCCCTTCGACCTTTAGTACCTTCAGGCCCCGCCTCCTGCAGCAGAGAAACTCGACTCCCTGAGCTGCATTGCACCACCCGCTGCCTCCCGCCCTCCCCCCCTTACATTTTTCCATCACCTCAAACCTTCCCACTATGACCTGTTTTAATCAGATAAAGCTGTGGATGAATTTATGATGTGAGGCGCCCTGAGGCCAGGGTCACATGTTTGATACCTGACAGATTTATTAGGACGGCAGGACGATGGCGACGATGGACAGAAACTCTGAGGTTTCTGTGAACCTGCAGAGCCTGAATCACATGAGGACTGGTGTCCAGTTACCAGCACAGATATTTTACTGGTAAGATACTGCGAATAGCAGAGCTCACACACACACACACACACACACACACACACACACACACACACACACACACACACACACACACACACACACGCAAACGACTCAAGTTTAAACTGATAATCACTCTTAAACTGGTCCTGAATAATCACTAAAGTCTTATAACTAAACCTACCTAAACCTGTTTGCATTATTAGGGGCGTGGCCTCTTTAACTGACAGGTGGATTGTGACACAGGTGCCTGTAGCTGCTAGCTTCACCTGAGCCGTACCTCTGGACTATGTTTGTGCTGTTGGAGCTTTTTTAATGACATCATGTGGCCAATAACATAGCTGCTGTGAGGTCACCGTACTAACAGACCAAATGAAGGCGGAGCTCCAGTTCAGGATTTTGGGGACATCATTGTGATGCAGTGTATGAAGACGATCAAAGCACACGAGCAAGCATTATCTGACAGCTTAGAGCTCCGCCCTCTCGTCCACTTACTGATGGCTCCAAAGAAAAGGCTGACACAAACGTGTAGGTGACATCACAGAAACCATCTTTTTGTTGTGGCAGGCCTTCCACAGTGAGTCTGCATCCACACATTCAGATAAAACTACCTCCGACTCTCAGTGATGCACAGATGAATCTAATTTCCTGAAGTGTCAGATCATACCAGTTCGACGCGTCCGAAGCCTCCGACTCCCAGCGTGTCGATGATGTTGAAGTCAGTGAGTTTCAGACTGGAGAAGAAGGCGTTCTCCGCCTCGTATCTGAAACAAAAACACACATCACTAAACACAGGACATCGATCCCGGGACGAAACACAGCTTTAGCTTCCCATGCTAAATCCTGTCTGGCATTCCCAACAAGGGACATGGTTTTACCTGCAGCATCTGACCACGTGGAAGAACGGGAACTTCTTTGATGTCTGGATGGAGTACGAGATGATGGGGAAGGAGAAAGAGGAGGGAGGAGCAGGGAGGCTGGGGAGCCGCTCTCTCTGCTCCTTCGCTGGGACGGGAATCGGCTCTCTCATCGCCAAACTTTATTTGAACAGTAAATCCACTTGTTCAGGAATGTTGGTTTGGAATCATCCAGATGGCGCTGACGGGGAGTTCGTAAGCTGCCCGACTTCTACCGAGTCTGGAATCTGATGTTGGTGAAACTACAAACGTGTGAACAAACAACTTGTCTTCAGTCTTCACGAGAACGTTCGGCAAAGTGTCCGTAACAGAGCCGTCTCAAAGGAAGAGCTCCACCTCCAGATTACATGGTGAGGACAGGAGCGGGTGTTGGAGGTCCGGTGGTACCACAGGTGTGGAGACTTTGCTGGATCCTCCAGCTCCTCGTGCATCAAGGTTACAAACAAACCTGAACCCTGTAGCACCGCGTGAATCCGAGGATCCCCTCAAAGGAAAGCTCAGCACCTCAGTGGATGACACACACAGATCCAGGATCTGGACTCCAACTTTGTGGCGTCTGATTTTAAAAAGCCCAACTGAGCATGCTCAAAGTGAAGTGTAAGGAGGAAAGCCTCTGAGAGGTCTGTGTCTGCAACGGCCGATCCCGCAGGGCGTAATGAGCTGAGAGGAGAACCTGCAGGAGGACCCTGCTGCTGCTCAAGTATTTTTAGCGCATGGAAACATTGCTGAGAGGTTCGCCTGTAAACGCAGCTCACTTATTAAAGGACAGACTGTCCCAACCTCTAAACCAGAGGACACAAAAGTTTCAACTTCTCAGGTTGTGTAGGCGCTCTGCCCTTCACCTGTGGGGCGAGCCTCGCTCGTCTGCCAGATTTGAATGAAATATGCTTCTGCAGCTGTGCTGTTATGTAAACAGGGGCCTGACTAGTTCCTGGAAGCTGTGGAATCAGATTACGGCAGAAACAGAAGCTGCTGCTGGTCGCTCGGGACGAAACAACGCAAACACTCTAAAATTAGTGCGAGGTCTTAAGTAAGAGATTTACTGTTAGAGCTCGCAGCCAGGTTCAAATCCAGACCACCTTCACCCCGCTGACGTGCCCTTGAGCAGAACACTGAACTAACACACAGGATGAGAAAAGCGCTCAGTTTAAAGTAGAGCTAGTGTCACGCTGCAGAACAAGGTCTTTATAAGTATAACTGCATTTGATCTCTATTAATATTTACAGTATCAATGAATTTATACGATACTTAGCTGTATTTAGTCTGGTAATGGAAAGAAGCACCTTTATTCTCTGATAAGAAGTAAAATAAAAATATATAATGTTTGGTGATTAAACGATGGCGTAAACAGAGGCTGCTCTGCATGAGATAAAGAAGGATTATTTTACTCTGAGGTTCATGCTAAGCTGCTCTCATAGACTGAGAGGAAGCTTAACATCATCTTTAACTCATGGATGCATTCACACATGAAGGGAAACATTTCTGTGGTCTATGATTTTCAGTTTTTTGTACAACTGAAAAAATAAATGAGGTTTTATTGACATTAGCAGTAGAAGTTTTGGACAGACCTTCTCACTTAATGTTTTTTCTTTATTTTTACTACTTTCTACACATACAAACTGAAAACATCAGATAAATCATAAGATATGTGGAATTATGTGGCAAAGACAAAATAATAAATAATTCTAAATATGTCTTATAGTTTAGATTCCTCAAAGTAGACGCCCTTTGCTTTGTTGACAGCGCTGCAAACCCTCGGCCTTCTCTCAGTGAGCTTCATGATGTCGTCACCTGACATGTTTCACCTCACAGGTGAGCCTGTCAGGGTTCATTTGTGGAGTTTCTTGCCTTCTTAATGACGTTGGGGCCATCAGGTGTGATGTGCAGAAGTCAGGTTGGTGCACAGCTGGCAGCCATATTTGACAACATATTATGGAGAGAACCAATCAGCTAAGTAAAGAGAAACCACAGTCCATCATTACTGTAAGAACTGAAGCTCGGTCAGTCCAGAACATTATTAAAACTCTGAACGTGTCCCCAAGTGCAGTCGCAAAAACCATCAAGCGCTACGATGAAACTGGTTCACACGAGGACGCCCAGGAAAGACCAAGAGTCCGCTCCGCTGCTGAGGATACTTTCATCACCAGCCTCAGAAATCACAAGTTAGCAGCTCAGATTAGAGCCCAGAGAGATGCCACACAGAGCTCCGGTAGCAGACACATGAATCAGGCCTTTATGGTCAAACAGCTGCTAAGGGATAGCAACAAGCAGCAGTTTGGACCCAGAAACACAAGGACTGGACGTCCAAGATGGCGCCGGTGTGTGTGCCGTCTGTCACTGCCAGTGTTATGCTTGTTTGTGCTGATTTTATTGACTGTTGTGATAAATGTCAACTCTCTCTTGGTGTATGATCGCCAAACTAGTGGATCTCCGACTTTTTGCCAAAGATCGGGCAATATTGGAGCCGTGTCCCAGCTCCACACCTCTGGCATAAGTGCCGCCAGAGTGGCAGCCTGGCGAAGCTGAAAGTTTCCCCAAGGTGCTGTCTCACGCCCTTATCGAAAAGACAGTGCCGACCTTGTATCTCTCTGAGCTGCTACAGCCTCACACACCCAGCAGGTGCACCTGCTCTCTCAGGTCAGCTGCACCTGCATGCACCCAGGACTGGGCGTAAACCTTGAGGAGATCGTGCTTTTCCTGTGGAACGACCTGCCCTCGGACAGGCCTCTCCTCTGCCTGGTTTGAAACCCACCTCTTCACTCTGACTTGTTGGTTTTTATTTTAGGTGTTTTAGTTGATTCTATGCTGTTTTATCTTGTGTAAATATAGGTCTGTTTTATGTTTTATGTATTATGTGTTTTATTTTTTACTGTTTTGTTTTATTCTATTATTGCTTAACTTGTTTACTGTACAGCACTTTGGTCCTGTGCTAGCTATTTTAAAGTGCTTTATAAATAAAGATGGATTGGTCCAGTGGAAATCTGTGCTTTGGTCTGATGAGTTCAAGTTTGAGATCCTTGGTTCCACGTGCTGTGTCTTTGTGCGATGCAGAAAAGGTGACCTGCTGGTCTCTACACGCACAGTTCAATCATGCGTGTAGCGTGTGCAAAGCAGTAAGCGCGGCTGTTTTGAAGACTCTGAGATATAAAACATGTTTTGTTCGCTCATAATTCCACATGTGTTGATTCAAAGGTCTGATGCCTTCAGTGAGAATCTGCAACGTGAACAGTCATGAAAATAAAGACAGAACATTAAATGTGTCCAAACCTCTGACTGCTGCTGAACGACGCCAAAGCACAACAACAGTTTATAAAATCCAGCAAACGTGAGCAAAGTTTTACTTAAACAGAAAACGGAGAAATGTACGCAGTGTTTCTATGGTAACAGCAGCCATGGTAAACAGCCATGACTGACAGCAGCACACCTGTGTGTGTGAGTCTGTGTGTGAGTCTGTGTGTGAGT